ATATATTTTGAGAGAATTAGCTTATGATATTTACGAATCTCAAAGGAATCTTTAAGGAATCTTGAAGACATGTCAGTATAAACAAATATTAAGATATTTTGCAAATATTATACTACACCAACCGAAGGTAGGTCAGACTAAAATATCTCTTATAAAGTATGCTTTGCAGGCTTTCCATTAGGTCTCAGGCCTAGTCGACGTCAGCACACATAGGACAGATTTCACGCTCAGTATTTGTACTCTGATACTTGAGGAAGCTGAAGAAGCCACAACATCCTAGGGTGGCCCTCGCCCCGATGAATCACACTACCATACAATCCACCCCCACAGAGAATAGGCAGGACCTATGACTTGCTTCTAACCAACGTTGTACAGTCAAAGTGGTGAGATGTCTTCCCAGTGTTGTATAGTATTATATAAGCCTTGGCAGACTGGAGAAAGACACTTACTGGCCTTGAACAAACAAACAGCCATGTGTGCATTGCCTGTGTCAGCATCACATGGCAGGAAATTATTCACAAGCTCTAGCAGTTGAGAGCAGACTCCATCCAAGAGCCACACATGGAACCAACCCAAACGCTCATCAATGATTGGCTGAATAAAGAAAATGTAGTACATATACACCATAGAATACTATGCAGTCATAAGAAGGAATGAGATTATGTCCTTTGCAGGGGCATAGATGAAGCTGGAAGCCATCACCCTCAGCAGACTAACACAGGAACAGAAAACCGAACACTGCATGTTCTCACTCACAAGAGGGAGTTGAACAATGAGAACATATGGACACACAGAGGGGAACAACACACACCAGGGCCTGTTACAGGGTGGAGGTGAGGGGAGGGAACTTAGAGGATGGGTCAATAGGTGCAGAAACCACCATGGCACACGTATACCCATGTAACAAATCTGCACGTTCTGCACTTGTATCACGTGTTTTTTTTTTTAGAAGAAATAAAGAGAAAAAGAAAAGAAATTGAACCCCTAAGTCATAGAGATGCAAGAAAATGAGTTCTGCAACAACCTGAAAGAACTTTGAAGTGCATGTGTTCTCAGGTGAGTTTCATGTGAGAACACAGCCCAGTCTGCCTTTAATACAGTCCTGTGAAGCCCTGTGGACAGAAACAATGAGGCCATGTGCAGATCCTGACTCAGAAACTGTGAGATCATAAAAGAGTGTAGCCTTAAGCTGACAAATCTGTGGTATTTGTTATCTGGCAATAAAAAGTAACACATGTATTAAGTACAAAAAAATGGACATAAGAGCAGCCATGCCACTTACATTAAAAGCACATAATGCATGTGTACATGCATATATATATATGCATGTGTATGCACATATATAAACACATGCATACGTGTGTGTAAAAACTGAAGGTATAAAATAAATTGTCTCAGCTTCCACCTTATGAAACTACACAAAGAAGAACAATTTAAATCTAAAGATTAAAAGCATGAAAACAGGCCAGGCATGGTTCCTCACGCCTGTAATCCCAGCACTTTGTGGGAGCCGAGGCCGGTGGATTGCTTCGAGCTCAGGAACTCGAGACCAGTTGGGCAACATGACGAGACTCCCATCTTTACAAAAAATACTACAAAAAATTAACGGGGCATTGGTGGCTCATGTAGTTCCAGATACTCAGGAAGCTGAGGCTGGAGAATCACTTGAGCCCAGGAAATGGAGGCTGCCCTAAGCCGAAATCGAGCCACTGCACTCCAGCCTGGGTGAGTGACAGAGTGACAGAGAGACATACAGTCTCAAAAAAAAAAAAAGAGAAGAAGAAGAAAATAAGAAATATTACAGCAGCAATCAACAACAAAACTGCAAACAGAAAAGTCATAGTAAACACCAACATAGCAAAGACTGGTTCTTTGGAAAGAGCTATGTTGTTTAGTTTCTGTTATGTTTGAAAATTATCAGTTTATGTTGTTTTCAATATTGATTCCTAGTTTGATTCCTCTGTAATCAGACAATATATTTTCAATGATTTTAATTATTTTAACTGTATTGAGGTGCTTTGTGGGCAGAATATATCCTGTTACGGAATATGTTCTGTGGGCAGCTGGAACAAAAAATGTGAACTTCCTCTATTATGGATTGGAATATTCTATAAATGTCAATCAGGTCCTGTGGGTTGATAATATTGTTGGGTTCTTCTGTATCCTCGCCTGTTTTCTATTTGTTCTCTCAGAGGTTAAGAAGGGGTACTGAAGTCTCCAAGGGTAAATGTTCTTTTAGTTTTTGCCACATGCATTGCACTATGTCGCTTTGTTGCTTGGTGCATACACATTTAGAATTACTTTGTCTTCTTTTGGAATGATATTTTTTTTTTCATTATGTAAATACCTTTCAGTCCCTGGTAACTTTCTTTGGCCCTGTAGTCTACTTTATCTGATGTTAATGATAGCGACCTCTTTTTAAAAAATATTTGCATGGTATTTGTTTTTTATTCCTTTTATATCCAAATATTCAAATTGTTTTATATACTGTTATGTTTGGTGTGTCAGACAACATAGTGTTGGAAAATTTCTTATTGATTCACTCATCACTGTCTATTTTCAGATTTCATAATATGCATGTTTAATGTAATATTGGTATGTTAAGGCTTAAGTCTGAACTCTGTATTTTTTGTTTTGTGTTTTTGTTTCTCTGTTTTGTTTCCCTGCCTTCCTGGAGGTAACTCAAATGTTTTTACAATTTCATTTTCATTTTACTTATAGCTTTTAAAAGTATCCTTGTATTTCTTTTTATAGTGATTTTTAAATTGGTTGCTACAGTATTTCCTTTACATGCATAGCTTCTCACAGTGTGTTGGTGTCAATATTTTATCATTCACATCAAATAATAGAATTGCGCGTTCCTTTGTGTCCTTCGTTCTCCCCAATTTGTGAAGTCAAGTATGGTCCAATAACCAGCTATTTGCCTTATATTTGGTGGAGTTATGGAGAGTGGTGAGTATTGGGAATTGATTATATGAACCCGGAAAAGAGGCCAGATGTGTTTCTTGTGAAGAATCACAGAGTTGAAGGAACCACTCCTAGGTGGAGCCTGCAGACTGCAAGTTTCAAAGGTATGTAGTTCATCAAGAAGAATTTTAGGTCTGTGTGTTAGTCCACTTGTGTTACTGTAAAGGAATATCTGAGGCTGGTTAATTTATCAAGTAAAGAGATTTATTTGGTTTATGGTTCTGTGGGCTGTACATGAATCATAGTGCAGGCATCTGCTTCCGGTGAGTGCCTCAGGAAACTTACAATCATGGCTGAAGGCAAAAGGGGAGCCAGCTTATCACATGGTGAGAGGGAGCAAGAGAGAGAGAGAGTCAGGGAGTTGCTAAGTTCTTTAAACAACTAGCTGCCAGGTGAACTTGTTACCTTGGAGAAGGCACCAAGCCATTCCTGAGAGATCTACCCCCATGACCCAAACACCTCCCACTAAGCCCTATCTTCAACAGTGGGGATCACATTTTAATATGAGATGTGAAAGGGAAAAGTATCCAAACCATATCAGTCTGCAATTATCAAGTGTCTATTGGAGTTTCTTTGCAAAGAGACCCAAGGTCCTGTGACTCAATCCCAGTGAAACTAATATAGTCCTGAAGAGACAAAGTGTCTAGGTTTGGAAATATCTATCGTGCAGTGACATGCTAACCAGAAGGCCCAGTAGAGCAAACATCAACAGGGGAGCTGTGGAGATGGACAACAACATCCATGATTTACACATGTTGTAAGAATGGCCTGACCAGAATTATGGGCAAAACAACAACAACAACAAAAACAACAACAAAAACTCCTTGAGCCCTGAGTATGGGGAGTTTCTGCTTTTGTAGCCTAGTATCCATAGACTCCATGTGTAATCAAACAACAGCCAATGTCCCATGGAAAACATGGGCTAAGTGCAAAGGTTGTTCTGTGCAACTCCTAAGGCTCAGCCAGATTCCCCTCTCTCAGGAGTGTTCCTCTGCGTGTGCCAAGTCAGAGCTGTGTCCACATGCAAACTTGGAAGATATGATAGAGGACAATACGTCAGGTGAGTATCAGTTCAATTAGATAGAATTCTTTTCGCTATGCAATTTCAGATCACTGAGTGCTCATTTCTTTCACTGTTCTCTGATGTTCTTTTTTTTTTTTTTTTTTTTTTTTTGGTATGTAGCTGACCAGCCTACCAGGTCTTTTATGCGGTTCAATATACAAGGTGACACCAAGGTAAGACAAATGAAGTTCCAGTTTGGGTACCTCCATCTCCCTCCCCTGGATCCTGATCCAGTGACTGCCAAAACCAGAAAGAACTGGGGTAGGGTGCTTGATCATGGGGAAGGCTGTTGTCGTTCACCCGGCAGATGGGAAAGGGGAAAGGTTTCACTTCTTCACAATTTGAATGACATCCTCGTCCTCCAATATATGGTCTTTACCCACTTTCTGAGGATTGCGTTTCACAGAGAGACCCCAGACCAGAGCATATTTAAATTCTTTGATAAGATTTTTGTGAATCTTCATGCAGAAATCCTCCACTGTGATCCTGGAGTAAGGAAGCACCACTGGGGATGTATAATCTGGTAATTGGCCTTTGGGTTTGTTGTAAATTCTCACTAGTTTCAGATAGGCCCAGATCTTTTCCAATAGGTCATCAAAATTCCAGCGGTGATGGGCAGAGATGGGTGCACAGTGAGGCACCTTATAGATGATATCCAATTCCTCAATGGAGATTTGGTCAATCTTATTTAACACATAGATACAGGGGATATAAACTCTGTTTCCTTCCACCACATCAATGAGGTCATCAGTTGTAGCATCACCACGTAGAGTCACATCGGCATTATGAATCTTGTATTTGGCCAGAATGCTCTTCACAGTTTCAGCATCCAGCTCACTCTGGGGGCAAGTGACTGTGAGATTAATGCCTCCCTTGTCTTTCTTCTTAAAGCCAGTGTTGGGAGGTTTGCTGTTCAAGCGAATGCCAAAGCCTTCCAGCTCATTTTCATTTATCTTCTTATGTCCCAAAGGTTTCAGGGCATCCAGAACAATCAAGATCAAGTTACAGGTTCGGGCCACTTTCCCATCGTTGGCACCTTCAATGATACCTGGGAGATCCAGGAGCTGGATCTTGGCAACTTTGTATCTGATGACACCAGGCACAGTGGTCAGAGTAGTGAATTCATAGGTTGCCACCTCAAAATATACCCCTGCCAGGTTACTAAGCAGTGTCAACTTCCCCAGAGATGGAAAACCAACAAATCCAATTCAAGCATCACCTGTCTTGGCCACATCAAAACCTTCTCCTGGACCTCCACCACCAGCACCCTTTGGAGTAATGAGTTCTCGACGAAGCTTAGCAAGACGAGCCTTAAGTAGCCCTAGGCAGTGTGCTGTGGTCTTGTTCTTTTGAGTCTGAGCCATCTCGGCTTCTATCTCCGCGATCTTAGCTAAGGTGCTGCTCATTGTGGTGAGTACCCTGTGGCCTCCACACTGTCACCCTTCACACCAGTGTTCTTAATATATACTTTTGTATTGTGTTCTTTCGGGTTTTTTTTTTTTTTTTTTTTTTTGCAGTGATTCTTTTGGCCTTTCAACTGCTGAATCACTGTCCTAGGATGTGGAGATTTCTTTTCAGACTTAATAATAATTCAGAAATGACAATTTTGGTATTAAATAGTCATAAAAACAATAAAAAGTTTTGAAATAATAAGTAAATGTATTATTTTCATAGGATGTGGTCATTATCTGAACAGAAATCTGATTCCCATATTCTAATAGTGATTGTAGAGAAAATATATGTTTTGCCCATATTCCACTTTAAAAGGCTCTAAAAATGTTTGCAAACTAATAATGTGAGTGTCAGTTACATGTCATGATGTGATAGGATGGGAAAGTAAAGGAATGTTTGAATCAACAGCACAAAATATCTTTTTGTTGTTGTTGTTGTTAAAGAAATGAGTCACATCAGAATTACTTATCTCTTAAAGGATGATGGATTCCACGGTGAGTGAAGTTAAAATTGTATTTCTAAGCAGAAATATCAAAAAGAAAGCATATTTTATAGAAAAGAGTTTGTGATATCTAGAAAGGATGACAAGTCTTCAGAGACTTTTTATAGTTCTTTTCATTAGTAGGCACAAACATCCAACCAAAAATCTGTTGATTTTACTTCACAATCTTCAATGTGGTGACTAAACATAGTGAAATTAAAATTATATTTTAAACTAAAAAGTACAAAAACAATGAAAAGATAGTTTATAGGAAAGAGCTTGTAAAACAAAGAATGAGGAGACTACAAAATATATTCATAAGCGGGAACACATCTCCAACAAAATTCTAATGGTTTCTCCATCACAATTATTAGTTTGGAGGTTGGAGATGCTGCCCATCCTCCTGTGAGCAGGACACCCATGGAGACTTTGCACAGGGTGAGGGCCCCAAATGCAAGCCTCCCAAGAGGGAAGGCAGAGCAAGATGGCAGAATAGAAAGCTCTACTCATTGTCTTACATGCCTACCCCCCAGCAAGGACACCAAGTTAACAACCATCTATGAGAAAAAACATTTCATAAGGACCAAATCAGGTGAGGGCTCACAGCACTTGGTTTTAACTTCAAATCACTGAAAGAGACACTGAAGACATAAAAGAAAGAAAGAAAGAAAGAGTCCTGAATCATGGATGCCACACATCCCCCACCCATAGTGGCATGGTGCCAGGAGCATCAGTGGGCACTGAGGGAGGGAGAACACAGAAATTGTGAGGGATTGAACTCAGTGCTGTCCCATTAGGACAGAAAGGAAAACTGGACCAAACTCAAGTGATGCTCACCCATGTAGGGAGAGTTTAAACCAGCCCTAGGCAGAGGGGAATCCCTGACCTAAGCAGTTCAAACTTCAGTGTCTGCAAACCTCTCCACAAAGGACTATAACACTGTGTGCCTGAAAGTAAACTTAAAATTAGACTAGGCCATAAGGACTGCAACTCTTAGGCAAGTTGTAGTGCTGAACTAAGCCCAGATACAGTGGACTGGGGAGTGAGGGCATGCAACATACTGAAACATTAGCTGAGAAAACCAAGGGCATTCTGGTGTCACCCCTCCCCTAACCCCAGGCTACACAGACTGTGGCTCCAAAAGATAATCCTTTCTTCCACCTAAAGAGAGGAGAGGAGGACTTCTTACATCTAAAATATCAGTTCGGCTACAACAGGATAGAGCCACTGATCAGAGTTGCGAGGCCCCTGTTTGAGGCCCTAGCTCCCAGATGACATTTCCAGACATACACTGTGCCAGAAGGGAACTCACTGCCTTGAAGAAAAACACCCAGTCCTGGCAGCATTCATCACCTGCTAACTAAAGAGCCCTACACCCTGAATAACCAGCAGTGATACCCAGGTACTAGATCAAGGACTTTGGGTGAACGTCTGAGACTTGCTGACTTCAGGTACCAGCACAGCCACAAGGAGGCGCTTGGGATCCACATTTTGAGGACTTGACACTTGGACAACTTTTGTGGACCTGCACTGGGACAAAGGGGAGCCCAGTGCCCTGAAGGGAGAGTTCTAAGTCAGGTAACATTCACAACAAGCTGACTTAAGAGACCTTGAGACTTAAGGGAACATTGGCGGTAGTCTGGCAGTATTCTTCATGGCATAAGTATTCTTCATGGCAGTATTCCTCATGGCATAGGGTGATGGTGGCTCCTCTGCCTTTGGAAAGGTGAGGGAAGAGTCAGAAGGACTGAATCTTATGGTTTAGTGCTAGTTAAGCGACAATGCAATAGAATGCCAGGTAGACTTCTAAGGTTTTTGACTCTACTCCCTGACTCCCGGACTAGTCCCTGCATTTCTGGACCCACCCAAGGCCTGGGGGACTTCACTGCCCTGAAGGGAAGGGCACAGGCCTAGTTGACTTTGCCTGCTACTGAATATATAGCCCCAGGGCCTTGAGCAAACATAGGCAGTACCCAGAGAGTGGTTATAACAAGCCTTGAGTGAAACCGAGCACTATGTTGGTTTCAAGTTTGACCCAGGGCAGTCATAGCCATGGTGGTCATAGGGGTGCTGGTGTCACTCCAACCTCAGCTTTAGGTGGCTAAGAACAGAGAGAGACTTGGTATGTTTGGGAGAAATTAAGGGAACAGAGCACAAGTCTCTTTCTGGTAATCCAGGGAATTCTACCGGATCATCTCCAAGATAATCAAGGTGGTACCTCTATGAGTTTGCAAAAACCACAGTGTTACTGGGCTTAGGGTTCCCCCTAAAGCAAATACAGCTTAGGTCCCAACACCCAAATCTTTTCAAATATCTGGAAAGCCTTCTCAAGAAGGATGGCTACAAATAAGCCCAGACAGTAAAGAGTACAATGAATATCGAACTCTTTAATCCCCGGACATTGAAGAACATCTACAAGCATCAACACCATCTAGGAAAATATGACCTCACCAAATGAACTAAATAAGGCCCCGAAGACCAATCCTGGAGAAACAGAGATATATGGACTTTCAGACAGATAGTTCAAAATAGCTGTGTTGAGGAAACTCAGAGAAATTAAAGATAGCACAGAGAAGGAATTCAGAATTCTATCAGATAAATTTAACCAAAAGATTGAAATAGTAAAAAGAATCAAGCAGAAATTCTGAAGCTGAATAATGCAATAGGCATACAGAACAAGGCATCAGAGTCCTTAAGTAGCAGAATTGATCAAGCAAAAGTAAGAATTAGTGAGCTTAAAGACAGGCTGTTTGAAAATGCATGATCACAGAAGACAAAAGAAAAAAGAATAAAATACAATAAAGCATGTCTACTGGGTCTAGAAAATTGCCTCAAAAGGACAAATCTAAGAGTTATCAACTTTAAAAAGGAGGTAGGGAAAGAAATAGGGGTAGAATGTCTATTAAAAGGGATAATGAAAGAGAACTTCCCAAACCTAGAGAATGATATCAGAATACAAGAAAGTTATAAAACAACAAACAGATTTAACCCAAAGAAGACTACCTTGCTAAAAAGGCATTTTATAATGAAACTTCCAAATATCAAAGATAAAGAAAAGCAGCAAGAGAAAAGAAACAAAAAACATACAAAGAAGCCCAAATACATTTGGCAGCAGAATTTTCAGTGGAAATCTTACAGGCCAGAAGAGAGTGACATGACTTATTTAAAGTGTTGAAGGAAAAAAAAACAAACTTATACCCTAGAATAGTACATCTGGTAAAAACATACTTCAAACATGAAGCAGAAAAAAAAAAAAAGACTTTCCCAGACAAATCAAAGTTGAGGAATTTCATCAATACCGGACATTTCCTATAAGAAATGTTAAAGGAGATACTTCAGTAAGAAGGAAGATATTAATAAGCAATAAATAATCACCTGAAGTTATATAACTCACTGGTAATATTAAGTATACAGAAAAATACAGAATTTTTTATTTATTGTAAATATTTATATTTACAGAATATAAAAATATTTTAAGACTAACTGTGGTGTGTAAACAACTGTTAACCTAAATAGAAAGGCTAAACAATGAACCAATCAAAAATAATAACTACAACAATTTTTCAAGACATAGAACAATAAGATATAAATAGAAACAACAAAAAGTTTGTTCACAGAGGAGCCTAACCCTGTAGTCACCATCACCCTGTGCCATGAGGAGTACTGCCAGACTACCGCCAATGTTCTCTTAAGTCTAAAGGCCTCTTGTTGTGAGTCCGCTTGTTGTGAATAGAAACAACAAAAAACAACAAAAATGGGGGGTATGTAATTAAAGCACAGAGTTTATATTAGGTTTCTTTTTACTTGTTTGTTTATGCAAAGAGTGTTAAGTTGTTATCAAGTTAAAATAATGCATTATAAGATAGAATTTGAAAGCTTCATGGTAACCTCAAGCCAGAAAACATACAACAAATACACAAAAAAAACTATCTATCTATCTATCTATCTATCTATCTATCTATCTATCTAATCTCCAGTTAGGTGTATAAACACACACACACACACCCCCCCCCCCGTACTTCAATATGCATTATCTGTTAACTCTTGGGACAGCCCATGTTATACAGAATGCTCCATTTCACAGAGGAGGAAACTAATGATCAGGCATCATGGATTGTTTCCCCAAAGTCACATGGACAGAAAGTTTTGGGGCTGGGATTTGAACCCAGGTTTGCTTGACTACTATGTTCCTTCCACATGACCATGTTCATCTCATAGATGAGCTCATGGCCTATAATGAGAGAGAAAAACCATAAAGAGGATGTGAAATCTTCAGTTCTCTGCTGCCTCTGTCTCACACCATGATGATTCTAGTCTTAAACTAGCCCCATATGTAGTTCTCTCTACAAAACACAACCATCAAAGCCCTTACAAACTGTAAACAACTTTATTTTGGATTTGGGAGCAGGGATATACCTTGCATCCCCCTGGCCCCCTCTACATCACCTCTTTTTCTTCTGTTCTCTCAGACTCAGTTTGTCCCTCTCAGATCGTGTCCTAAAAATCTAGTTTGCCCTCCAAATATGAAATCAAATAATACCCTCTGCCCCATCATATATTGTGAGAGCTGAACACTAGACTCACAGGTACTGAGATTATACAAGAGCTAATCAAAGGATTTGACCCAAGAAATTTTCTGTCTTAGAAAAATTCTGGCACTACCTCCCCTGCTTACAATAAAATGTTCTTCAACTCTTGTCTCAATTGACACCAAATGACAACAAAGTGGAGATACGTGGGAAAAACAGAGGACAACCATGCAGGAAGATATCAGGAAGATAAAAGTCATTTCTTATGCTTGCATTAGTTTCGTGTTCCTGTAACAAATTAGCATGACCTTACTGGCTGTACAGAACACACATTTCTTATCTTACAGTACTGGAGGTGAGAAGTCCCACTGAGCTAACATCAAGGAGTTAATAGGGCGGTAATCCTTCTGGAGGTTCCAGGGCAGAGAATCTAATTTATTGCTTTTCATCTCAAGATGCTCCAACATCCCTGGCTCCATGGGATGGAGCAGCCCTCCATCACTGCAGCAGCCCTCCATCCTTCCTCCATCACTGCAGCAGCCCTCCATCCTTCCTCCATCACTGCAGCAGCCCTCTCCACTGTCCCAACTCCTCTCTGACTGCCAAGTGGGAAATAGATTCTTCAGTACACTGATGCTCTCAACTTCTGATGGGATTACTGTCCATAAACCCATTGTAAGTTGAAACCACTGTAAGTCAAAAATGCATTTAAATCACCTAACCTATTGAGCATCATGTCTTAGCTAGCCTACTTTAAATGTGCTTAGAAGATATACATTCACCTACAGCCAAACACATAATCAAAAACAAAGCTTATTTTATAATAAAGTGTTGACTATTTCATTGAATTTATTAAATATTACACTGAAAGGGAAACCAGAGTAGTTTTATTTATTTATTTATTTATTTATTTATTTATTTATTTATTTATTTATTTTGAGACAGAGTCTCGCTCTCTCTCTCCCAGTCTGCAGTGCAGTGGCACGATCTCGGCTCACTGCAAGCTCCGCCTTCCGGGTTCAGGACATTCTCCTGCCTCAGTCTCCCAAGTAGCCGGGATTACAGGAGCCTGCCACAACGCCCAGCTAACCATTTTGGTATTTTTTTAGTAGAGACGGGGTTTCACCGTGTTAGCCAGTATGGTCTTGATCTCCTGACCTTGTGATCCGCCCAGAGTAGTTTTATGAGTACTCAAAGTACAGTCAGTTTCTACTGAATGTGTATCACTCTCAGATTATTGTAAAGTCAAAAAGTATTTAAATACAGTCATCATAAGTTGGAGACTGTCAGTAAGTTCAAAAAGTAACTAAAAAGTAACTCAAAAATGCTCAGAAAAATAAAACTGTATCCAGACAGAGGTACAATAGTGTATTATCTAAAATGTACAATTTTCAGGAAAAAAAAAAAAAAAAACACAAAGAAACCCTGAAAAGAAATAGAAAAGAATGATCAATATTGAGGAAAGAAAAGCGAAACAACTACCATCACAACAAAAATGTGTTGGTGAAAGCTGACTCTCATCTGTGCTAAATATTAACTTTAGCAAAGACTACAAAGCAGTTACTGTACAGATGTTCAAAGAATTATTTTTGAAGCTACAATTGAAGACTTAAGAGGAAAATACAAGTACAATGATTCAGCATGTGGACACTAAAAAAAGAAAGAGAAAGTCTAAAATTCTCAGAGTTACTATGACAAATGACCAAAGGAGAATTCTAGAAACCAAACGTATAATAATCAAATTAAAAACGTATCAGATACGTGCTCACTTCGGCAGCACATATACTAAAAGTGGAACAATACGGAGAAGACTAGCATGGCCACTGCCAAGGATGACACGCAAATCCATGAAGCTTTCCATATTTTCACTCTTGGGGTGGATGACTTGGTTCATGCCTTGATGAAGAACACAGCTAGTTGCGAGAATTAATGTGAATTCCAAGACACCTTGATCACTGACACTTCGAATACACTTGCAGCTCTGAGACTACAAAAAAAAAAAAAGTATTAGATAGGTTCAATAGCAGTCTCAGATGACAGAAGAATCAGCGAACTTGAAAATAAAGAAAGAGAAATTAGTAGAAATTACTGAATCTAAAGAAAGAAAAAAAAAAGCATTTCAGAACTATATTCTACAGTTCCTCCTTGACAGTGAATATACACAAACTTCATTCAGTTACATGCTTAATATTTGTGCCCTTTACTCCAGGATTTTATCCACTAAAATAAAACTAATTTAAAAATCTAGGCCGGGCGCGGTGGCTCACGCCTGTAATCCCAGCACTTTGGGAGGCCGAGACGGGCGGATCACGAAGTCAGGAGATGGAGACCATCCCGGCTAACACTGTGAAACCCCGTCTCTACCAAAAATACAAAAAATTAGCTGGGCGTGGTGGCAGGCACCTGTAGTCCCAGCTACATGGGAGGCTGAGGCAGGAGAATGGTGTGAACCCCGGAGGCGGAGCTTGCAGCGAGTGGAGATAGCGCCACTGCACTCCAGTCTGGGCTACAGAGCGAGACTCCGTCTCAAACAAACAAAAAAAGAAAAGAAAAGAAAAGAAAAAATCTAGATGCTAAAATAAATATGAAAATAATAACTAAGAATAACTGACTAGGTGCAGTGACTCATGCCTGTAATCCCAGCACTTTGGGAAGTCAAGGTGGGAGGATCACTTGAACTCAAGAGTTCGAGACCAGCCTGGGCAACATAGTGAAATCCCATCTCTACCAAAAATACAAAAATTAACCAGGTATGGTGGTGCATGCCAGTAATTTCAGCTAGCTCGGGAGGCTGAGGCAGGAGAATCACTTGAACCTGGGAGGTTGAGGTTGCAGTGAGCCGAGATCCTGCCACTGTGCTCCAGTCTGGGTGGGTGACAGAGTAAGTGAAACTCTGTCTCAATACACACACACAAACACACACACACACACACACACACAATAAAATTAAATAAATAAGAATAACCAAATATTTATGGAAGCTCAGCCTATTAAAGACAAGTGTAAAATGTGTTTGGGAAAGTGAAAACAAATTAGAAATCTCTTAGAGGAAATAGAAGAACATGATTAAATATGTCCCTTTTTCCACTCAGGCACCACAAACTTTATTAGCTTCCCTCCAAACACAGAGGACACATTACATCACTGTGCTCACACTGGATGTCCCCATACTCTCAGCTCTTTCCACACCAGTGCACCCACAAGGGGATTTGCATACTGTCCCCTAGGGAGGACCTTCCATTGTGAGTCTGAGATAAAAGCTCAGCTCTAACCTTGCCTTGACTGATCAGGACTCCTCAGGTCACCTTCTCACAATGAGGCTCCCTGCTCAGCTCCTGGGGCTGCTAATGCTCTGGGTTCATGGTAAGGACAGAAGGGAGATAAGCGAGGAGAATGGGGTGGGAGGGTGAGCTCTGGGGACCCCACTGCCTGTCCACATGCACATCTTGACCTACAAGAAAAGGGGTATAAAGTTTAGAACTGTAAGTGTGAGAAATAGAAGATTCCTCACTCTTACAGTTCTAAGCTTCATATCCTAGAAGGACAAAGGACTTGTGTTCTCGTGAAGAGTGTGACACAGGAAGAGGAGAATAGTGTAGGCAACTTCATGAGTCTCTTTTGTGCCTCATGAATGTTTTTTTAAACCTGAATGTTTAGGGGTATGAGCCAAAGTCACACACACAAAAAATCACTTAGCATAAAGTAAATAACAGAAAGAATATCATTTTAATGGTTCCCAATATTTGTACATAACCCTGGACTTCTCTCACTATTTCAGGATCCAGTGGAGATATTGTGATGATCCAGACTCCACTATCCCTGCCCGTCACCCCTGGAGAGCCGGCCTCCATCTCCTGCAGGTCTAGTCAGAACCTCCTGCATAGTGATGGAAACACTTATTTGCACTGGTACCTGCAGAAGCCAGGCCAGTCTCCACAGCTCCTGATTTATGGGGGTTCCAACCGTTTTGCTGGAGTCCCAGATAGGTTCAGTGGCAGTGGGTCAGGCAATGATTTCACACTGAAAATCAGCCGGGTGGAGGCTGAGGATGTTGGGGTTTATTACTGCACACAAGGTATACAGTTTCCTCCCACAGTGGTACAACCCTGAACAGAAATCTCCCTTCTTGCTGTGGTTCAGCTGCCCAAATGTGTTGTTTATCTGGAAAGCATACATTGTAGATTATCTTGGGAGAGTAAAGACGAAGATGATGGAGAATTCCGGGGAATACATTACAGCTGAGGGCTCTTGACCATCAATATCTCAGTTATACCTCAGGTACCATAAGTTTAGTCCCCATCAGTTGCAAGAGTCTTGGCCTGGCGGAATTTGCAAGAGAATGGAGGGAGGTCAAGTGCCCTCTGAACAACCAGTCATGTTGCAAGGGAAAGCTGAATCAAAGCTCATCGTAATCCTCTCTGCCTTGCCTACGTTCATTCATCAACTAAATTCATTCAGCCTGACAACCACCTCAATGAAACAGATTAGTGGCAATACAAAACTAATACAGTCTTGGTTTTGATTTGATTTAGCAGTTACTAGTGTACATGTACCTTGACAAGATTTGGTGATACTAAAGTAGTTTCCCTCCCATCTTCTACCTTACACCTTACACTTTTCTTACATCTCTCTCTGGGACAGCAGGAGGCACAGCATTTTATCCTTTTTTTTTCAGGGAGTGCTGGAGTGTATTTATATTCTAGAGTTTTCAACTACTAGATATATTTTGGTAAGTTTATGCAAAAACTAAGACCTAGCGACAAAAAATCTTTGAAAAATCTTATTCACAGTATGTTGAAATGAAAAGAAAGTTCTATGAAATCCAAAGCTCTGTTTTAAAAATAAATATCCAAGTTTGAAAAGACAAAAGAAAAAAGTCTAAAAATGTATGTCATATTCAATGGAATCTGGATTAATACAAAATAATATATACCTTATATTTTGCCCCACAATCTATAGCCTCTAGGCAGAGGGCAGTAAACGAGAATGTGAGGGCAGCTGTTACTGTGTTGATGGTGGTGCACTGGAGTTGATATACGAACCCAGGTGGAAGCTCTGCTGTATTTCTTGGGGAGAATCACAGAGTTGTGGGACTCCTGCGTGGAGTTCAAGGCTGTGCTCTGACGCAACGGCAAACTCACAGGGAAGTATTGCATCATGCAGTCTTTAGTGACTCAAAGTTTAGAGAAGTCCCTGTCCAAATGTACCTCAGGTCATATCACACATTCCTAGCCAATCCGGCAGGACATAGAAGACCTTGGAAAAGTAGATCCTGCCCCTATCGTTTACCTGGGAATGATTAGAGAAAGAAAGGATCATTCAAGAAAGCTTATAGTTAAAATAAAGATGATGTTGACTAGAGCAGTGCAGGGGCTGGGAAGATTAGGAGGAGGTGTAGTGGTGGGAGCCTAAAGCCCATAGGTCAGACACACATAAAGGAAAATCAGGGCATCATGGTAGGGGAAAACTCATGAGAATGAAGGAGGTTTCACTGTGTCTCTCTAGCCGACCTACCCAGCTACCATTCTCAACCCAGGCTTCAGCAAATGTCCCAAGGAGAAATTCAGCCTGGTGTTAAGGGCTCCACTCATGCCATATAATCCATAATCTGTAAGGCAGGTACATGCCACTGCCAAAGGTGAGATGAATTCCCCACTCTTGTAGAGATCTTCTGCCTGGGCCAAACCAGAATCTCCAATCACACTCATATTTGGTAAATTTCACTGAGGCACAAAGTGACAGGATGACACCAGGCAATATACAAAGGCATTTTTCCTCTGTGGAATTTTAGGCTATCTGTTCTTTAATTTTTCCACAACTCTCTGATGTTATAATAAACAAGATTTTTTAAATTTAGTTTTGCTCTCCCGCATTTATTGCAATTCTTGTGTCCATCTTCTAAGGCCTATTCCTTACTACTTCACTATTGAAAGCAAATAGTTCAATTAAATTACAAAGTGGGAATGTCACTTTGAATATTATATTGCAAAACATTCACATCTAGATCAATAAATGCAGATGGCACAGGGAAATGAAGGAAAAGACAACTGCAGAAATGATAATGATCTTATCAGTGTTCACAGTAATTGATACTGAATACCAAACATGAGATACTGAATTCGATATTCCAGTAATGTACGCAGAAATTACATACATATATGCTTTAAAGGTACTACATTTACAATAGTACTTTAGTATTATTTTGATCCATAAAAGGGTATATGTATTATTTCATCATGTTATACTAGAAGTAGATAGTTTGAATTAAGAAATCAAAATGATCCTGCTTTTGATTAAGGACATAAGCTATATGGAAGATGGCTGCCTATTCCAAGAAAATATATCCAGTGGCAAGTGCACTTAATATATCTATGTATTATTATCTTTGCTGAGTATGAAATTGTATGATAATATTTACATGTAAGGAAAAGAACCCAAAAGGAACTCAATCCTTCCAATGGAAAATAAATATCAGTAAGTAATTTAACATCTTTGGGGCCTTTGAAAAGGAAAGAATTAAAATGAGGTAAAATGAATGTGCAAATAAATACTGTTTGTAAAACAACAAAATATTAGGCAGTTATGTATCAGTAGTACTCTATAAAAGAAATGCTAAAGACAGTTCTGCAACAGAAGGAATGTAAGACTAAATAGAAACATAAAGATATATAAGAGATGGACACAGGAAAGGATATGTATATGAATAAATACAAATTAATATTTGTGCACAACGATAGATATCATGATTTGTGAATTTTGCAATGCACATATAACTGAATTGCTGAAAAATAACATAAAAAAGTAGTGCAAATGGAATTTAAAAACTAACTCTATTTCAGGAACTGGTAAATTAATATTTGGTACTAGGAAGTAATAAGTTGAGGATAGCTGCTATATAATAAATGATTGCATATTTAACAAGTTAATGTAAGGAAAAAGATAATAAAATGTCTAATCCAAACGAAAGTGAGAAAGCAGGAAATCTGACAAAAAAAAAAAAAAAAGGATGGTAGATTTAACTCTAACTACCAGTAATTTAGACATCATAAACAGACAAATTTCTCCAAATAAAATTTTTATCAAACAAGATTAAAGTGAAAGGTTTATGCTGCTTATAAAGTACACACTGCAGTAAGATCACAAAATGGCTTGGAAAATTAAAAAATGGAAAGTAAAGATCACGCAAAAACTGAATTAACGAAATCTGACTTATACTTTAAGGCAAGGGAGAAAAAGGGGCCTTTCCTAATGACAAATGGGTCAATCTATTAGGAAATCGTTAAAATGCCAAATCTATGTAGACCCAAAATATAACTTTAAAATATATAGGTAGAAAATTGATTAAATAAAGTAAGGAAAAGTCAACTACATGTTATGGTGGGAGACTTTATGCTCAAGAGATGATAGAAAAGCAGAAAATAACATAAGGATTTAAAAGATGTGATCAACATAATTACCACATTTGACATACTTAAAGAAGAAAAAAAGTATATGGTCACCTCAATTGGTATAGAAAAAAACCACTGGACAAATTTAGACCCTGTTTATGTAAAAAAGTCCTAGAAAATTAGAAATGGAAAAAACCTTCCTTATCTCTCAGAGAATACACAGGCAGACAGACAGGCAGACAGACAGACACACACGCACACACTCACATTAAATACTGAAAAATTGTTTTTCTTCATTTTGGAATTAGATATTTTTAAAAGATGTAAAGTATCATCATTCCTAGGTAATACTGTACTGGATGTCTGACTAGTACAAAGGGCAGGAAAAAGAAACAAAATGCATGAGTACTGGAAATAAAGAAATTGAATAGTTACTATTTGTAGATGGTATGATTGTTTGGATAGTAAACCAAAGCCATAATCTAGAGGTCTTCTTTAGCATTTTAATAACGTTTTGTACAGTGTCAAGACTTCACATCTTAGGCCCGTCCCAGTGGCTCACACCAATAATCCCAACACTTTGGGTGGATGAGGCAGGCGAATGACATGAGGCCAGGAGTTTAAGACAAGCCTGGCCAACATGGTGAAATCCTGCCTCTACTAAAAATACAAAAATTAGCCGGCCGTGGTGATGCACACCTGTAATCCCAGCTACCCAGGAGGCTGAGGTAGGAGAAGAGCTTGAACCCGGGAGGCGGAGGTTGCAGTGAGCCGAGACTACGCCATTGCACTCCAGCCTGAGCGATAGAGTGAGACTGTCTTTAAAAGAAAAAAAAAAAAAAAAAAAAAAAAAGACCGGACGCGGTGGCTCAAGTCTGTAATCCCAGCACTTTGGGAGGCGGAGGCGGGCGGATCACGAGGTCAGGAGTTCAAGACCAGCCTGGCCAAAATGGTGAAACCCCATCTCTACTAAAAAATACAAAAATTAACCAGGCGTGGTGGCGCCCGTCTGTAATCCCAGCCCAGGAGGGAGACTGAGGCAGCAGAAGCGCTGGAATCCGGGAGGCGGAGGTGTCAGTGAACCGAGATCACACCACTGCACTCCAACCTTTGAGACAGAGTGAGACTCCATCCAAAAAAAAAAAAAGATTTCACATCTTTTAGTGTGTCTATTCATAAGAATTTAATGTTTTGCGATGCTTTTTAAAAAGCATATTTTACAATTCCATCTCCAATTTGTTGCTGGTATGATCGTTTTTTACACATGGTTTTTATATTTACTGATTTTTCTAAATGTATTTATTCATTCAAAAATATATATTTGCCTTTACTACATTCACCTGATTTTTAAATGTCCTTTGAATCCTATACTAGCTAATAACATTAAATGAACTTTTAGAAATAAAATTATATATGTTCCTTACAAAAATTCTATGGGCATCCCTACCAGATTTAGATACTTGATTTTCTGAATTTATTTTTGAAAATAAGTTCTCTGTTTATTATTGGTTCACCAAGAAAAAATAAATAAATATGTTCCTATTAACACCTTAGTCTCTAGGAGAAATCATCATCTCTATGTAACTATTTTTGCAGACGACAAGCCCATTTGCTGGTTGTCTACTGAGGCTCTTGGCGTAAAAATACAACAGTGAGTTCTAGAGAAGACCTGATCCTGTGCTGCCTGGATCATAAGGGAGAGATCATTAAAATAATGGAGTA